AATGCCACACTCTTGTCACAGACTCTAGCAATGTTTATATACACTGGTATAGACAGAAGCCTGATATAACACTTCAGAGAGAATTCTCTACTTTTTGTCATCAAGACAACCTGTTTTTGACAAAGTGTCTGATAAAGAAACATGGGGGCAAGAAAGGATCTCACTGAATCTAGTTCTTGTCTGACAGCCTGTAAAATAACCAGAGATGACACAGCTATGTATTATTATGCCCATTGGCACGGCATAGTGTTAACAAAGCACTGAGCAGCTGCCTTCTGTGTATTCTGAACCACAGCCTGTCAAATATTCAACACTATACTAATGTCTCAAAATGAGCCCTCAGCTTGGAACTAGGTGCACAAGCTCCTTCCGAACTTGTCCAATGTGACAGAAAAAAAGCAAACAGTTGCTTTGGCAGGTAATTACCACACGCTCGGTGGAATCACACTTGCCTAGACAATAAAAAGAGAGCAGTAATTAAAAAGGACACCAAACTTTAGGGGCAACAATGTTCAGTTACTCTCTGTGAAGACTTAGGCTTGCTATGGGGGCACATTTGCCAGCATGCCTAGGGGAGAAGAACCCTGGAGAGATGACACTACCAGATGCATGCTCAGAAAACTACACAATCCTGTTCTAACAAACTATTCCATGTTCAAGTTGCAGTACTGGTAGAAAAGGCACCTCATCAAAATATGTTATGCTTTCCTTGAGCAGATTATTCTACAACTGTTTCAGGAGAACACTAAATAAAAAAAAGTATCTTACAGACAGACAGACAATTAAGTCTCTGCCCCCAGGCTTCTGATAACCAGGAATCTGTGTTTTCCGTTTCACACAGAAAATGGAGAAAAACACAGATTTTTCCCTTTGCCAGTGGAAATACGGATTTCTCATTTTAATAGAGGAACCCAGAGATTTTGCAGTTTTGCAAAGAGCTCCTCTACAGGTTGGCAGAGTTCCAGCCTGAAGGGGGCTGGGAGGGAGAGGAAGTAAGCAGCTCCCATAGGTAAGTGGGGGTGGGGGAAAGGGGGTATTGAGGGAAGGAGTTGGGCAGGGCTGGGGCTGCTGCCCAGCCAGGTGGTGTGTGGGGCTTGGGGCTAGGACTGCAATGCGTGGCCACAGGGCCCCGGTGGGGGGCAGGACAGGGCCATGGGCAGCTTGTCTAGGGGGTGGGGCCAGATAAAAGCAACAGAAATGTTCTACAGTAAAGGAAATCATGTACGAAGTTGTTATGTACATCCTTGCACAGTTCTCTCTAACGGACAGATCCAGCTTTGCTCATGTTTTGGGAATGCACCCTTTTTGCTGCTAAGAACCAAAGTACAGGCAGTCCTCGACTTACGACATTTCAAGTTACAATGTTTCACACTTACAGCGTTTATAAATTGACACCCTGTTTCAAGTTTCTGACATCAGTTTCAACTTTAAAACGCTTGATCTGATGTGACACCATGCCAGCGAACAAGATCGCTGTGTCACCCATCTCCCTGGAGAACATCTGTCCAAACTTCATTGGACACTTTCTTTAAGAAAACAGACGAGACTCCAGAAAAACCTGCAGCCAAGACTCCTGAGAAGACTCTAGCCAGGAACCCTTCAAAAAGTCCAACCAAGAGCCCTTCAAAAAGTCCAGCAAAGTCACCTCAAATAAGTTCTTCCAAATCAATATGGTTGCTATTTACAATATAAATACATTAATGTGGCTATATTACTCATCTATAATTGATTAAGTACAAAATTCTGGGGTATTTTTGGCTAAAATAGGGTATCAGGCCTTGGTTCAGGAACCAATCCCCCATTTATAACATTGTTTCTTATGAGAAAGTTGGTTCTGAGTTACAACGTTTTGACTTAAGATGCGTTTTTCAGGAACCAATTGTGTCGTAAATCCAAGGACTGCTTGTAAGGTCTTTGTGTGGCACCAAGCAGTTTTATATTGCAATGTTACTGTGTTTGCAGCAGGAAAATGCATCATTTGCTTACTACCAGAGTATCTTGGAAAATACAGCACATCTCCTGGTTGGAAATGAAAACTTAAAAGAGAATATTCCAGGAGCATCTACATGTGCTATTATGGTACATGACTAAACTGCAGAGCTTATTGCTCCAGAGTTTATTGCTCTCAAGCACACCATTTGAATGTGCTCCCAGGAGCAATTAACTCTGAAGCAATAAGCTCCAGTTTATTCATGCGCAGCAGGTGAAGCTGGGTTGGAGCACCCCAGCTGGCAGAGGGTCCCAGGGGTCAGTCTGCCAGCCAAGGGCTGCTCCCCCTGACTCAATATGCTGCAGACAAGCTGGGCAGGGCATGAGGGTGCTTCAGTGTGGGTCTAACCAGCAGGCAGCCCCTGAACTGAAGTACCCTCGTGCCCCAGCCAGCCCCTTCAGCATCTACACTTGCACAGCTGCAGAGTTTTTCACTCCACAGCAGGATAGTACTTGTAAATCAGTAAGTAAGTAAATTAGTTTGCACCAGCCTAAAAGGGGCACATGTGTTGATGCAAGACATTTACTGCACAGCTAATTAGTAACTGTGCAGTAAATGTCTCATATAGATGTGCCCCCCTGTTGCTCAAGTGAAAGTGTTATCTGCAATGCAATGTTTCTTGTGAAAAGGCAATGAAGTCTAATATTGAAAAACCCACCAAGAAGTTACTTAAAAATATGTTCTACAAAACCCTCCTAGTGTACTCCATATGTACCCTTTTCAGAGCTGGAATATAATTTAATATAATTTTTCAATTTGTTTTTGCATCAGACCTCACCCAAGATCATCTTCATCAGACCAAGGTGCACACATTGCCTCTCCCAAGCTTCAAATCTCCTTCTATGCAAGACCATTCCTCACATTCTTTTCCTGGAAGCCAACAAGAGAAGAAAGAAGGTCTCTGTTGGGGCTTTTACTTGGTCACTGGTTTGTTCATGTTACTGGTTGGCTATCTAGTTCTGCATTAGTTGGCTTTCTGGTTCCTTAGTCAGTTGAAAGTGAAGAATGTCCACTTTTGTTCTGCTTTATATCTCCCATTGTTTTCTCTACAAATGTCATCATACAAATCCTGAAACAAATTTAACTGTCCATCATCAAGGCAATAAGACTTTTGGGGTTTGATGTGTAAGCAGGTTTGATGTTTTCAAAGGAGGTTCTGGGAGTACAAAAGATGTGGGGTAGACACATCTCCAGTCTGCAAATCCCAGCGGCAAAACATCTTTCTATTATTCCACAGAACATTAAAAAGCATTTCAGATGCAGAAGGGTTATGGGACACTGGAAATCTGTACATGAATTCTGGCCACTGCATTAAAATAATTGTGATTACATCAAAATCCTACACAAATGATAATATACTATAATGATAATATAATATTCCCAACCTCGGGGCATGACCCAAATCAGGGTTGTGGGGGGTCCTCAGTACGGTCGCGAAGGGTCCACACACACACACTCATGCCTGCAGCTTAGGAGCAGCGGGCAGGCGGGCAGGGCAGGGCCACCATGCACAAAGGGGGCAATGGTGACTTCCCTGCCCCCAGGCCACTGCCACTACAGCACTCCACTCCACTCCTAGTAGCCCCCATGGCGCCGGGTGGGGAGGTCCTGTTAGTGGCCAATTTAGGGTTGCAACAAAAAAAGGTTGGGAACCATTGTAATATATGGTACTTTGTGATTTGTCCACAGATGGATATTGTGATCTAGTGACAAGATTCTTCCTGATCCATCAGAGACAATATGGCATTCAAGTAGCTAGTGAATGCACAGCCTGTTTTTTGAAAGGCAGAATAAGATTAGTGTGTGCATTGCCCTCAGTACTGCCCTCTTCTGAAATCAGCATTTCAGAAGAGGGCAGTAGTAGTACAGAATGCATCTGTCAACAGGAAGTTGAATACTTCTACACCTGAGAGAAGACAGCAGACTCATATCTCTAGTCAGAAACTGAGATCCTGCCTACACTGCCAGTTGCTCAATGACAGTGCTTTTGGGGTAGGAAAGTCTAAGAGGGCTTACAATCAAAAGACATATTCTCCTCATTTCTCTACACCTACAACCAAAACCAAGAGATTCCCTACTAGAAAAAATATTAGTTTGCATTCTATCCCCCAAGTAGCAGTGACCTATATAAATGTCACTGCATTTTCTTTCCCCCTAGCTTAAGTGTCTGTGGGCAAAATTTGAGAGGTAACAAGTTGGATTTAGAAAAATATTTTTGTAATCTGTTACATTTCCCCCCTATTCAGCACTGGTGAGGCCACATCTGGAGTACTGTGTTCAGTTTTGGGCCCCCCACTACAGAAAGATGTGGACAAATTGGAGAGAGTTCAGCAGAGGGCAACAAAAATGGTGAGGGTGCTGGGGCACATGACTTATGAGGAAAGACTAAGGGAGCTGGACTTATTTAGTTTAGAGAAGAGAAGGCTGAGAGGGGATATAAAAGCACCCTTCAACTACCTGAAGGGGGGTTCGAAAGAGGATGGAGCTAAACTGTTCTCAGTGGTGGCAGATGACAGAACAAGGAGCAATGATCTCAAGTTGCAGCGAGGGATGTTTAGATTACATATTAGGAAGATTTTTTTCACTGGAAGAGGTTACCCAGAGACGTGGTGGAAGCTCCATCCTTGGAGGTATTCAAAACATAGATAAAGCTATGGCTGGGATGATCTAGTTTGGGATGGTCCTGCTTTGAGCAGGGGGGTGGACTAGATGACCTCCTGAGGACCCTTCCAACCCTAACTTTCTATGATTGTATGTTTTCTCAAAAACATTCTAATTTGCAATTTTTTCCCAGTTCACTCAGTGGATTAGATTTCAGCACATCCACAGCCTTCAATTTCTAACTACCTAACTCTACAATCTAACTCTTCCAAAAACGTAGCCCCACACATCTACTGTCAGAAGAACTGCCATTGGATGCTGTTTAAATGAGTCACTTCCTCACTACAACCTCACCACTCTCCCCCTCTTTCCATTTGACGCTCAGTTTCATATTCCTGTTTCTCCCTTACAGATTCAGCTCTATTACTCAAGATGTTACTGCTACAGGTTCTTTTAGTGACTTCAATTTGCTCTTGTAAGTCATTTTTCCTTTCTGTACTTTTTAACAGGAGCTCATTACTGAGCAAAGAAGGCAAGTTTCCAAGTCATTCAGCTTTAGTTTTATGGTGCCGTTTCTTCTCTTTCTTTTCTAGATGGATCTATAGGACTAATTCTCACCCAAAGTCCATTGTCTACCACCAAAAGTGAAGGCCGTACTGCACGTATGAAGTGTGTTTTTACTGACTTTACGGGAGCTTTCGATTCAGCTGCAATTCACTGGTATCAACAGAGCCCTGGTGAAGCTCCAAAGAGAGTTTTGTACTTCACATCAGGAGAAGCTGCTGTTGATGACCAGTCTCAGAAAAGCAGGTTTACAGTTGTGAAAGATTCTTTAAAGCTCAGCTGTACTTTCCAAATAAATCGTGCAAAGAAAACTGATACCGGTGTCTACTACTGTGCTTACTGGGATAGTCACAGTGTTAGAAAACCATGAATAACCTGTAAAAAAACTCACTCTGCATTTTCAACCACAGCCCTTTAACTGCATGATACCAGACACTTTTGTAATACTTCCTCTCAGCCAGGAACCTGCTACAGACACTCCTTTCTGACACCTGACAGAAAAAATAGCATAACTTCTGCTTTGCTGCATATGTTACTAATAAATTCTAAGACCCCAAAACAGTAAATGCAGCACATCTTGCATAATTATTTGAATCCATGAATACTGCCCAGTAGGAGTTTATATTTGGTTACTCCAACTAGCATTATAAAAACCCAAGTGTGATAGACTGAAATATTCTAGTTTTGGCAAATATTCAGTCCTGACAGCTTTGCAAGTCAGAACAGGGTACGGAAGATAATGTCATGTTCGTATAACTTTCACACTTACCATTTCTTAGTCACATCAGGGAAACATGTCTGTGTCCTCTAAAGTAATCCAATCTCCATATTTTCTTTCCAATGAGCAATATTCTAGTGTATTCCTGTAGTCTTCTAGCAGTGGTAGCTATGCCAACAGCATTAAAGCAAAGTTGGGGACCCAGGTTCTGGCACACATGGGAACATGGATGTTACAACACCTATTTTGCCAGTGCAGATGGGAGAAGGTAATTCTGTAAGACAGACAAGTAACATTCAGGGGATTCAGAGGAAAAAGTATACATTCAAATTAGAAAAACTCACATGAAAAAATAGCCAGAAGCATTGTAATTCAAAGAGGCGTTTAACAAGAACAATTTTTATGAATGAATTTGTACAGGAAAGGAATGAAGAAGCACATAGTTGGCCTATTGAGTATATATGTGTGTGACAACCTAGATGACTATATTTAAAGTATTAAGTATATCTATTGTAAAATATAAATAAGGACAAGGTAACACAGAAGGACAAAATCCTAATAAAAGTGACGCACAAGCTTAATGCTATCCGCATTGATTTTTATTGAGGTAACTAAAAATCCAATGTTGTTACTCAAGGATGTAAAAGTGAACAACCATATAATTCTTTGCAAGGTTTAGGGCATTAATATCATTGTCACAATACAGCACACAACATTTTACATAATAATTACGTACAAAAATTACTCCAAAAGGACGTTCAGGTTGTAGCACTAAGTTGTAATTGCCCTGCTGTACGTGCATACAATCTGATATTGTTCTTAATTATCTGATCACAGACTACTTTCCATAGAACCTCTACCTCATTCAGTGAATGGCTGTTTATTGACTATTTCTTTATACACCCCAAATTCAGCACCTTGCTTGAGCCTTTACTGAACTCTCATCATCCAAACCCAACATTGAATACAATAGGGCATTTTTGTTGTTCTCTTTCTATAGCATCTGAATGCTTCACAAGCAGTAGTAAATTTATCTTAAAGCACCCCTGTGAAATCAGTCACAAATATTATCCTCATTGTGCATGTCCACATGTCACTGTGCTTTAGTACTTCTTTTTGGAAGTACTAAAGCACGGCACTATGTCGCCATAGGGTGCCATGTCGCCATAGGGTGATGTGTAGATGCACCCATTATTATCATAAAAGAACTGAGGCCAAGGAGCAAAATGAAGGACCACATTGTCAAGAATGTCCACAAGTTGTAGCACTTCCAGGACACATATCAACCTTTCTTGAAAACACTCAGCTCTTCTGTAATCTGAACCAGGAGACAACCCCAGGAAAGAGGAATCTCCAATCTGTGGCTGGCTATAAATATTTTAAGTGACTTGCCCAGCTAACAGAGGAACTCTGTGGCAGAGGGAAGGATCTGCTCATATTCCCCATGACATGACTTCCCCAGCTCCTGCCTTCCTGCCGTTCAGCTTCTATTTCCTGGTCCTTTGTCTCCCTCTCCATATCCTCTCGTTCTTTCAGTTCCTCTTGTTTGTACCTTTTGGATCACCCCAACCTACCATTTCCTGCCATACCATTTCCTGTCTACAACTGCTTCCCCTAAATTCCAGAGATTGTTCTCCTTCCCATTCTCCCACCTCTTTCCC